TTATTTTTTAAAGATTTTATTTATTTGAGAGCAAGAGAGAGAGAATGAGAGAGGGAACACAAGAGGGGATAGGGTCAGAGGGAGAAGCAGGCTCCCCACTGAGCAGGGAGCCCAATGCGGGACTCGATCCTGGGACTCCGGGATCATGATCTGAGCCGAAGGCAGTCACTTAACCAACTGAGCCACCCAGGCGCCCCTAAATAAAATCTTAAAAAAAAAAAAAAATAAATAAATAAAAGGAGGAGTAACTTGGGTGCTTACCAGATGAGGAGCTCTGAATAAATCATCTAACGAGAGAGCTTGGCAGTGCTGTGTGTTTCAGGAGGGCCTTTCGCAGATGATCCAGCTTGAGGTGGTGCACAGAAGTTACTGGGATCCGATCATAACCACCTCAGGGATGTTTAGAATCTGACTGTAGTTTCCAGTATATTCGCTTTTATCCAGAGGCCACTGTCAATGCACAGACTGACACATGGTCCCTTCCAGGGGGGGAGGGGGGCAGGACATGGGTGTGTATACCTGTATCTGTCCTCTCATGAGACCGGCCCCAGGAGAAGCCAGCATTCTTTGGAGGAAGCGAGTAGGACTTCTTCAGGCACCCTGGAGCCATGGTGTGAGCCCATAGCACAGTCTGTGCAGAGAAGAGATTATGACTGTCCCTGCGTCGTGACATACCCACTCCTCTTCCTTCTGTGGGTGGGTGAGGGGGCCAAGGCCATTCATGACCGCCCGGTGCCCAGGGGTCACCACCCAAACTGATCTACACACGTGACAGCCTCCAACCCCCCACCCAAGGACCTGCCCCTCCGCTCCCCCCGTTCTTGTTCCCTGCCCTTGTCTGTCCCACTAGCCTGTTAGCTGAGGCCCCTGGGTGGAGGCCTTTGGCATTTCCACCCTGCGGGGGAGGGGTGTCTGCTGTCCGGATGTGGAAGGGACCTGGAGGAGAGACATTTGGGGTCAAAGGCAGTCTTCTTGGAACCCCTTGTCACTCCCCTCATGCACATGCTGACTTCCTCAGTGCTCAGAACCAGACCTAGAAATGTATTTATATTGTTCCCAATTTTCAAATTTAATATCCTAGAGACCAGTTTTAAATTGGATTTTTTGGTGGTCTCCAGTGCGTTCACGTGGCTAGTGCGTGGAAGGGACACTGGTGTGGCGTCAGGGAGCCTGCGTATAAGGTTCTGACCTCCACTTCCTAGTTGTGGGGCCTTGGACGAGTCACTTCCTCTCAGAGTGAGTTTTCTCCCAGGTTAGAAGGGACGAGGGGTTGTTGAAAGTATACAATTAGATAATACAAGCTGAGGTGCTCGAGAAATGCTCCAGGACCAGGGAGTGAAAGCAGCACCACTTTGCCTGGGTGATGCAGTTGGTGAAGCATCTGACTCTTGGTTTTGGCTCAGGTCCTGATCTCAGGGCCCTGGGATCGAGCCCCGCGTTGGGCTCTGCGCTCAGCTTGGAGTCTTTCAGATTCTTTCTCCCTCTCCCTCTGCCCCTCCGCTTGTGCTTGCTCTCTCTAAAATAAAAAGATCTTTAAAAAGAAAAAAAAAAGATAGGGGTACCCTGGTGGCTCAGTCAGTTAAGCGGCTGCCTTCGGCTCAGGTCATGATCCCAGGGGTCCTGGGATCGAGTCCCTCATCGGGCTCCTGCTCAGCGGGAGTCTACTTCTCCCTCTCCCTCTGCCTGCCCCTCTGCCTACTTGAGCTCTCTATCTCTCTATCATACAAATAAATAAAATCTTAAAAAAAAAAAAAGGTAAGAAAAAAAGATAAAGGAGTCTCTTCCACAAGCTGTAGAAATGGCACTAAAGTTCTCTGCATCACCCGTTAAGGGACTGAGAAAGGGCTTGGGCACGGTGAACCCAGTCATTTCTAAATCACTCTGGTGGTCGAGCGGGGGTGTGTGTGTGTGTGTGTGTGTGTGGGTGTGTGTGTGTGTCGAGGAGGGAGAGATACTGTAGCTTGTAAAGGAGCTAAGGGTGAGTTTTAAGTTCCTGTTTCTCCTTCTTGCCCCACACCAGGTGCGTTACCTTCTGGAGTGGACGGAGGAGGACCTGGATGAATTGGAGGATGCTGTCAGCATAGGCGATGTTGAATTTTGTCACCCCTTGTGCCAGTGCCCGAAATGTGCTCCAGCTCAAAAGGTTTGGCTTTGCTTCCATTGGTGCAACTGGGGGTGGGGGTGGGGAGGCAGATTCTTCTTTTCCGCTTAGGAAAGTTGTCTGCTTCTCAGCCAGCCAGTTACTGAGTGGCTGCTAGTTGGCAACCCCTGAGATGTGGTGAGGTTTAGTTACGTAGCTCAGGGAGGAGAGCAGCTAACACTAGTGTGGATCTGTCTCGGGCGGCTGACTTTCTGAATGGGCAGGTCAGGGAGCAGAGGAATGCACACGTGCTCAGTGTTTCAGCTCCTCTCTGGGCCCCTGAGTCACAAGGCAAGAGTTTATGGCTGAGGGTGTCTGTCCACATGGCTGCCAATCCCTTGAGGAAGCTGCATTCGAGATCCATTGCCCGCTGTCTGTGCTCAAGTCAGTCCACCTTCTGTGGGAGGACCCTCCCTCCAAATACAGAGGATCCTCTGTGCCCTTTACCCAATCTCCCGCAGTGGTAACAGCTTGCAAAGCCATAGGACAGTATCCTAGCCAGGATACTGACCCAGAAACAATCCACACATCTTATCCACATTTCTTTGATTTTCCTGGTGCTCACATGTGCATATGCATGTGTGTGCCTGTGTGTTCACTTTGATCACACGCATAGCTTTGTGCATCCACCACCACATCGAAGGTACCAACAGGCTCCTTCACCACGGGAAGAACTACTCACGTTGCCCTTTCCCACACCCATCTGTCCCCCTGCCACCCCCTAACCCACAAGGTCTGAGATTGAGGTTCATTTTTTTTGCCTGTGGATGTCCACCTGTTCCACACCACTTGTTGGAAAGACCATCCTTCCTCCATTGACTTGCGGTCCCACCTCTGTTGATAATATACGGTGTGGGTCTCTCTCCAGGTTCTGCATTCCGTTCCACAGATCTGTGTGTCTGTCCTTCCACCAGTTCCATGCTGTCTCGATTACTGTAGCTATAGGAAGCTTTAGTACTGGGTAGAGCCATTCTTCCTAACTTGTTCTTTGCCAGGATTATTTCAGCTAGTCTACGCCTGTGCCTTTCCGTATAGATTTTAGAATGGGTTTGTTTATGTCTACCAAAAATCTTACTAGGATTTTGGTAGGGATTACATTAACAACCGTAGATCAAGTTGGGGAGAAATGACATCTTTACTGTGTTCACTCCATGAATATGGAATATCTCTCCAAATATTTTGGTCTTCTTTGATTTCTTCATCATTTTTGTTGATGCTAAAATAACTGCTAGATGTATTGAATAAAATCTTTTTTTTTTTTTTAAAGATTTTATTATACAGATCCTGCCCATGTTTTCTGAAGTGTATACTTAAGTATTTCATTTTCTTTTGAGAAATCGTAGACAGTATTCTGCGTAGAGTATGCGCTTTTGTGCTAGCTACCTAACCCGATGTATATGTCCCATACTGAGAAAATTAATTTGACTCTGCAAAACAGGCATAGTGGTGTTGTCCTTTGTATTACAAGATAATACTGCCTTATTTTAAAAAGCTTCACCATGGGTTATTCCAACCCAATAATATTGAAATTAGTAAAACTTCCATTCACGTGTAGCTTTTCAGCTCGCTCCAGGGTGATGTGTACGTTGGGGATGTGCAACTCTTGTTCTGTCCCGATGCTGCTGGATGGGGACAGCCCAAAGAATGATTTCCCCTGTGCAGACTGCTATGAAAAGCATAGGGATTAAAAAAGGCAGATGATGTTTCGAAGGGTGCTAGTGAAGTGACTGTACTTCAGGTCCGGTCCGGGACTGAGTGTGGCCAGAGGCAGCTAACTGTGTCTCGCTGTCACTGCTCTTGCCATTGGCCTGCACTCTGTCCTTCCCCACCTCATGGTTCATTCGTTACAGCAAGAAACTGGAGCACATATTAAAATAACTGCTAGATGTATTGAATAAAATCTTTTTTTTTTTTTTAAGATTTTATTTATTTATTTGACAGAGAGAGACACAGCGAGAGAGGGAACACAAGCAGGGGGAGTGGGAGAGGGAGAAGCAGACTCCCCACTAAGCAGGGAGCCTGACACGGGGCTCGATCCCAGAACCCTGGGATCATGACCTGAGCCGAAGGTAGCCGCTTAACTGACTGAGCCACCCAGGTGCCCCTTAATTAACATTTTTTAACTTAAATTCAATTAGCCAACGTATAGTACATCATTAATTTTTGGTGTGTTCAGTGATTCATTAGTTGCGTATAACACCCAGTGCTCATCACATCGTGCGCTCTCCTTATTTTAGAGGGGGAGAGAGTGTGTGTGAGCAGGGGGAGGAGTAGAGAGAGAGAGGGAGAGAGAGAGAGAGAGTCCCAAGCAGACCCCACACTGAGTGAAGAGCCCCACGCAGGGCTCAGTCCCACGACCCCGAGATCATGACCTGAGCCGAAACCACGAGTCAGGTGCTCCACCTACTAAGCCACCCAGGCACCCCTATACAGTTGTATTTTTAACGAAAATTTGAAATTATGCTCCTCTTACCGGCATGTAGGCTGATGGTAGGAATTGCCTGATGCTTCTCGATGGGGTCAGGGGTGCCCCTTGTCGCCTGGGGGGAGGTGCTGTCGTCCCCTTGCTATGCCCGTAACTGCACAGTGGCCATCCTGTAAGCCTGCTTACTTCCTGCGGCGTGTGGGCAGCAAGACTAACACCTGAAGCCTCTGACCAGAGCGGAAGGAGGTGGCTGACCACACAGCACCAGCGAGTTTGCCACACCCACTTCGACTTCACACAACATCCCGAGTGGGATTGGGGAGTTGTTTTGGTTTTTAATTTTTATTTATTTATTTTTAAAGATTTTATTTTTAAGTAATCTTGACACCCACCATGGGGCTCGAACTCACAATCCTGAGGTCAAGACCCGCGTTCCCCACCGACTGAGCTAGCCAGGCGCCCCTGGATTGGGGGAGTTTTGAGGGGTGGCCCCTCTTGTGCTGGTGTTGGTTCGAGCCCAGCACTTGTATTTGCCCTTGGGCAAGTCTGTTTCTGAGTTTCTGTCCATTTCTTACCTACACTGAGGATGAGGCTGTATGTTTCACCTCTTGCTAGGAGTTTACAGGAATGCACTAGGGTGTTTGGAAGTGTCTTTGTGAAGCACGAGCTGATACTCTTGCCCTCAGCTTGCTCTTCCAACACCCCCGCGTCTGGGTGTCTCTATTTCCTGGCTCTCTGGTGCGTCCTGTGTGGATAGCCTCTGCGGGCAAGGTGGGGACACCGCCCAGTGTGCCCCTCTTGTCTGAGGTGTCTGCCCCTGGTCCTGGTCCTGCTTTCTGGGTGGGGGTGGTTGGTCCCATCTGGTGTTGGGACAAGGTGTGCCTCATCCTTACAGCTGGCCGTGGAGCCAGTCCCTTGGGCCTTGAGTGGGGCAGGCCTGAGAGATGCTCCTTACCTGTATTGACAGGACAGGTGTGGTGGCTTCTTGTCTTTCGTGGTGCCAGCATTGAGCTCTGCCTTGGCCTTGGTCAGCCGTAGCTGCTGACTGGCTTCCTGTCTTAGTGCAGTTCTGCCTCGGAAGGTGTGAGGCCCGTGCGATGTGTCGGTGTCCCTTCCTGGGGAAGGAGCTCGAGTGGATTTCCACACAGCAGCTGAGAGCATTCAGGACTCAATATCAGTAAATCGAATTTTGTTTTCCTGTTGCCTCTTTATATAATGTGATGTAGTTTCACAGATATTTTCCCCCAAGATCTAATTGTATCTGAGGTGACCATATATACTTCTTTTTTTTTTAAAGATTTTATTTATTTGACAGAGAAACAGCGAGAGAGGGAACACAAGCAGGGGAGTGGGAGAGGGAGAAGCAGGCTTCCCACGGAGCAGGGAGCCCGATACGGGACTCGATCCCAGGACCCTGGGACCATGACACAAGCCGAAGGCATTCACTTAACCGACTGAGCCATCCAGGGGCCCCCCATATATGCATTCTTTAAGCATAAAGACTTGAAAGTCTCGTAAATAAAGACTAGCTTTTTGGAAATAAGCATTACTGGGATGACCCTAGTTTAACCCCTGTAGACCAAAAGCCAGAACACTGAAAGAACTGATCCCCTTCTCTGTTCCAGCTTTGTGGGCTCCTGGTCTTTCTCACTGTACTGGGCTTCTCATAAATAGTATGTACCCCCTTCCCAAATGGATCTGAGCTGATGTGCTGTCTCTTCCGGTAGGTCATTTCTCCTTGAAGGTTCAGGCCCTGCGGACTTGCCTCTCTTCATCATTGCCCTTCCTATGGTTACCCAGAGTGGAGGAAGGGACCCCACATTTACCTGAGCAATAGCATCTTTCACGTTTCTCTGACCCTAATCTGCTGGGCTATAAATCACTGAATAAAACAGGTTGCTAGAGCTTTATATAGTAGATGGCAGCTGGGAGCAAATGGGCTCTCATTCTGAGGGGTTGGTATGTGTTTGCCAGGTTAACCCTCTTGGGGCCACCACTGTGAGGGACCGTGCCTGACAGAGGACCCCAGAAAGGGGCCATCCCTGAGGTGCCACCCAGGCTGTGCCTTTAGCTGGATCTCTGAGTCAGAGCTTGAGGGCTGTGAAGGGCCTTATCCCACACTTTTGTCCGGGTTCTGTGAGTTCTTCTGGCAGCAACTGGCTGGGGGAGAAAAACCCCCTTTACCTCCCACTGAGACTTTTTTGAGGAAGTTAATTTGTCATCAGTCAAGTTGCAGATGCTCCAGTGAGCATGGAAAGGTCTCACTAGGAATTATCTCATAAAGGAAGGATGCATTTTTAGATTTTTGTATCTAAGTAAATATTACCTGTGATACAAAGACCTGAATTTATTATTTGGGGTAGACCCCGGTGTATTACAGGATTTGGGAACAGTGGCCATGTTCGTCGGCTATTTTAGTAAGTATGTTCAGAAAGCAAGACTCCTCTCTCTCTCCTGCTGGGTGACACTGGGAAATCTAGAACTGTCTGTCAGATGGTTGTCCTCCCTGTATGCCCAGATAAAGCGGCAGGGGCTAGGGCTGCAGGCTTTAGGACAGTGGTTTGAGAGGAGGAGGAGGCCAAGGCAATGCAGGCTTCCGTCCGGAGGAGGATGGTGTGAGCGCGCTACATTCCACACTTCGTGATGACACATTCCACACATGTGTGCACAGAGGCAGTGTGTCCCCAGGGCCCTGCTCCCAGCAGCCGCTTCCTGCAGGGACAGACGGAAGCCCTTGTCCCAGCCCGATGAGGATCTGCTCTCTGGCCCAGGGACAGAGGCTCTGCCAACTCTGTTCTGTGAGGAAGTAGCAGGGACTGAGCTCGGGTTCTCCATTTTGAAGGGTCTACATGGACATCTTGTGACAAGTTGACAAAACAGATTGTTGGGTTTCTCCTGCAGGAGTCGGAGGGATTTGGTGACCGACTATTCCTGAAGCAGAGAATGAGCCTGCTGTCTCAGATGACTTCAACTCCCATTGATTGTCTGTTTAAGGTAGGACACTGGGAAGTCCGTGTGGGCACAGGCGTGTGAGGGACGTTTCATCTTTCCCCATCTCTAGAGCCTCTACAGCATCCATCAGGGCAGTGCGCTCGGTTCAACACCGAAGTTCATGTTGTGCTCAGAGTGGGTGTAGGAATGCGGAGGTTTTACGTCTGTGCATCTCCCCCAAGGTCTGCTGTGCCGTGGCCGGGAGGGGCAGCACGCCTGGAGCCCTCTGCCCGAGCTGTCCTCCCTCCACTGGTTCGTCCAGGTCCACTCTGAGGTGCCTCCCGGTGGCCTCAACGGAGCTGACGCCTCTCCTGAGCTCCGGAAGCCCCGTGTTGCGGATGTTCATATGCAGCGGTGGTTCCATCACTTGGCACATGCGGGTGGCTCCCTGCCAGATATGATTGACCCCTGGGAGGCTAGTTGGTGAGGCCTGGGTGAGGGCAGACCTCCTCAGGGAGCCTGTGGGTGCTTCAGGCCACCCGGAGCCACAGTGGGTTCATGGAGCACCCAGGGAGCCTCCCAGGGGCCACTTGCTCCCCAGAACATCTCACTCCCTGAGAGGAGCACATCCAGGAATCACAGAGCTGAGCCCTGCACCGCAGGCTTATTTGGTGATGGGATCTCTCGCTAATGCAGCCATTCCCTTTCCCCGCAAACTGAGGCTCTGTTAGAACACAAGGGGACAGGACCAAGGTGTGTTCTAGGAAGGAGTCTGCATCCACCCCGAGGTTCAGGAGGCATGATCCTCCCGCCCCCATTGCTTTGGGAATTTTGTCATGTTGTTGTGTTAAGCTACGGACGATGTGTAACATTTCCAGAAGTGAAAGAGAGCATAAATGCACACCCACGTGGCCATCTCCAAGGCCATCTCCGTCCTATTTTGTGTCCATCCCCACCTGCTTTCCCTGTCCGCCCAGATTATTTCAAAACACATCCGAGAGAGCAAGTCATGTCATCCGTGCATACACAGATACGTGTTTCTCTAAGGGGGCTCCAAAAATTCACGTCTTAAGAAGAGAATTATTCCTTAACTTCGATACGTTACTTTGTAGCACATTGCGTCCGGGAACCAGAAAGAAGTGGAGAGACTTCTGAGCCAAGATGACCAAGATAAAGATGCCATCCAAAGGATGTGTCACCCTCTGTGTTTCTGTGAGAACTGTGAGAAACTTGTCTCTGGGTAAGAGTGTCCCCGTGGAGGCTCACTGTGCCTACAAGCGTGAGGCGCGGGCCTGGGCCGAACTTTCCACTAGTTTGTTGTGCGATTTTGAATAAAGACCGTACCCTCGTGGCACTCCGCTTCCTCTGCTGTAAAGTGGAGACAGTAACATCCACCTCTTTGGAGAATCAGATGGAATAAAGGTCATAAAAATACTTGGCCTGCTGCTGGGCTGGGTGCCAGAGTAGGTGGGTACAGAGCCTACCCAACCCCAGAAAGCAGATTTTAGGATGGAAGGAATGTCAGCTTCTCCAGTAACCTTTTGGGTTTCCCTTCCCCTTGTCAGGCTGGGTGTCAGAGCCTGGAGGGGTGGGTTGGGGAGGGATGCTGGAACCAGATGCCTCACCCTGCAGGAGACCAAGTAGGGACTGGATGGTTTCTGGGACACTGTTAAAGAGATCCAGCTCACACCCCGAGATCTGTCTGCTAGCCCCAGGACTCTGGCATGTCCATCCTGGTAGGGAGAAGCTTTTCCTTGCCATTCCTAGGGTGTATTTTTCTATATCTTCTCTCTCTCTCTCTCTCCCTCTTTTTTTTAGAAAGAGAGCGCAAGTAGGGGTGGGGAGGGGCAGAGGGAGAGGGAGAATCTTAAGCAGGCTCCATGCTCAGCATGAGCCCAGTGTGGGGCTCGATCTCACAACTCTGAGATCATGACCTGAGCTGAAATCAAGAGTCGGATGCCCAACCAACTGAGCCACCCAGGCGTCCCCCGCTCTTCTCCCTCTTTTAGGAGGCTGAACGATCCCTCCATTGTCACTCCATTTTCCAGAGATGACAGGGGTCACACACCGCTCCATGTGGCCGCCCTCTGTGGTATGTGGTCTTGGGTTGGCCTTTGGTTGGGCTACTAAGGCAAAGGGATGGAGCCAGGGGTGGCCCAGCAGAGGCCTGACTGACGGGGCGGCGGAGTCGGGGGTGGCAGGGCCCATGTCGTGGGCCACCTCCAGGGGCTTTGCTTTTTTTAATGGTCGCATAGTATTCCATCCTGTGAACTGACGCACCACGGAATCTTCTGTGGATATCTAAGACTCTTTTCCACTACTTTCTGTTGCTGAGAGGTGGACCAGAGCCGAGCCCCCTCCGGAGGGGCAGGGTCTAAGGTGTCCTGAATCTAGAGTCTGGCTTGATGTTAGCTCTGGTCCCTCTCAACGGGAAAAACACTTCCTGGCATGTCCTCTGCCAGAGAAGAAGAGGGTAAAACAATGGGACTTCACGTGTAGGGCTTGGTGAGCCCCTGCTCTTTCCTTCTCTGCGGTGAGATCCCTCTGTTCTGCAGGGCAGGCATCCCTCATCGACTTCCTGGTTTCCAGGGGCGCGGTGGTAAATGCCACGGACTATCACGGGTCGGCCCCGCTGCATCTCGCCTGCCAGAAGGGCTATCAGAGCGTCACGGTGAGCAGGGACGCCACCCCTGTGCGCGTGCTCAGACGAGCCCGGCGCCACGTGTCCGGACCCTCACGGCCACGCTCCTGCGTCGCAGCCTCTCAGGATGGGCCGCGTGTCCCAGGCCACGGCGCCGCGGACAAGACCCCTCGGTGTCGATGTGAAACATCCTGACGGCTTTGGGGAAGAAGGGTGGGGCCGTGGGCCTTGTTCTTTAATGTCTCGGCGTTTTAAAGGGCAGGATGAGCGTGATGGTGGGATTTGAATTATAGCGTAGGTCAGTACGGTTGCAGGTGAGACCGCAGGCCACGCTGCTCACCGCGCTCGTCTCCTTGGCAGTTGCTGTTACTGCACTACAGAGCCAGCCCCGAGGTGCGGGACAGCCACGGCAGCACGCCTCTCCACCTGGCCTGCACCTACGGCCACGAAGACGTAAGTGGTGCCCCCCGTGCCCAGGGTAGCTCTTCTCCCCCTCTCTCACTCGCCGAGAGATGCCAGTTTCTGCTCGGTGTAACGTCCCGCTTTACTGGCATGTTTGGTGGGTGATTTCTCTTTGATTAAAAAAAAAAGCCTTAAATGTATTGCAGATGCCCTACTGAAGGAACAGAAAGCTAGACTTTAATCGCCCGTTAGCGTACCCTGAAATTAAAATCATTTTCCTCCATCCCTGCTGCCACCTGGTTCTGATCTTCGTTCACCTTCAGTTTTTACATCTTCCATTTTTGTAGTCATAGCGACAGTTGTATCATTTCCGCTTCCCCTTCACCTTGAACTGTGTGTGTGTGTGTGTGTGTGTGTGTGTGATTCTGTCCTGACCGCCCCCTCTCCATCTTCTCTGTGTGGGAACACGTGGGTTTACACGTACCCAAGGTAGAGGCCGGGTTAGGGGTAGATGTGGAAAAATGAGATCGTGCTCTCCCCATCTTTATAAAGCCACTTACTTTCTTAACGGTACATCATGGAAAACCTGGAGGTCAGTAAATGTAGCCCCAGCCCGTCCTTTAATCACTACCCAGCGAACTGTTGCGTGTGTCACATCTGTGTCCCTAAGACCACCCCTTGGGGCGACTGATAGGACTCGGCATATAGTCACGCTGCTATGATTGACGATAGCCAAAGGACCCAGGGCACAGTCACCAAAGGGAAGAGGTGTACGGATGAAGTCTGGAGGAAAGCAGGTGCAAGCTTTAAAGCTTCCTCTCCCCAGGGAGATGTACAGAACATCCTCGGTTCATCCAGCAGTGAGTTACAACAGCAAATATGAAGTGCTGTCTACCAGGAGAGCTCTGTAGGGACTCAGGGCCCAGGATTTTTACTGGAAGCTGGTCACGTAATTACGCTGTGCCTGCCACATGCCAAACTTCCAGACTTCTAGAAGAAAAGCAGGTGTTCAGCATAAACCATGTAGTTGCATGATTTAGACACAGTGAGCCGTTCCGCAAATCCAAGCTCCTGAGGAACATTGCGAGTCAGGGGCCAGCCTGCAAGCGGGCCTTTCAGGGGACAGCGGTCTCCGGCCTGCTGTGGTCATTCCCTTCTGCACATGGATACATCACAATTTATTCAGCCTTTTCTTACTGATCAACAATTTTCAGAAAAATGATGTGTCCTGATGCGGTAACCTTGAACTCTGTCTCTCTGTTTCTGCACGTTTGTTTGGCGAGTGGCACCTGGCTGGAATCGGGGTGTGGACTGAGGCTGTGGCTTCCACAGACATTGCCCAGGGTTGGGCATGTGACTTACTGGTGGTATTTCCCATTTTCTCGGCAGTGTGTGAAGGCTCTGGTCTACTATGACGTGCAGTCGTGCAGACTGGATATTTGTAACGAGAAGGGAGACACCCCACTACACATAGCCGCACGTTGGGGCTACCAAGGCATCATAGAGACGTTGCTACAAAACGGGGCCTCCACGGAGATCCAGAACAGACTGAAAGAAACACCCCTCAAGTGTGCACTAAACTCAAAGGTAGCTTTTCATCATCTCAGAGTGTCAGTATGACTTAAAAAAAAAAATCAATGTCCAAAGATTGGGTCTTGGCTGTGCTGGACAAACTGCATTAGTGCTTGAGGCCCGAACTTGGCCTGTGCCCTCTCTGGTGCATTTAGGACCTGGTCGTCAGTGGGTTTTACTTATTTATATTATTTCCAGCTTAACCAGCAGTTTTTCTCAGTCTTGTTCCAAGAGCTGCCTCTAGCAGAGTTTGCCCCAGCCCCTGAGTGCTGTTGGTTTCAGAGCAGACGGCGTGGGGGGAAATGGGACAAAGGCTCTGGCCGAGAGAAGCAGGGATGGGGCCTGGGGTATGGAAACAGCACTCTGTCTTCCTGTTACTTCATCCTCGGCTCCTAAATGCCTTCTCTTTTGGCCAGTTTTGAACATCGTTATGTACGGTTTCTTTCATAATGAACCAATCCTTTCCTGTTGGTAATTTCTGGAACCACGTTAGTGTCTGGCAACGTGTCGTGGAAGTGGGGAGTGGATGGGGAGCGGGTGGGGAGCGAGGGGGCTCGCAGAGGCCGGTTCTCTGTGCCTCGCCCCCCGCAACTGCTCCGGCCGAGGGGATGCCCCCTGGAGAAGTGCGGCCCGAGGCCATCAGACCACGTCCAGAGCATCGCGGGTGTGTGGCCCACATGAGCAATCCTGTCTTGATGCCGGCCTCCCACCCTTTCCCTTCGTGCAGGCTCAGCTTTCCACCTTGTGACGTTTTACCAGCTGCTTTTACAGCTTCCAGCTCTGTTCCATGGGGTTCTTTCAGAGTGTTCACGTCTCTTTCTAGGAGAGCAGTTTTTGTCTTTTAACCACACTCGAGGTATGATTGATGCACAAAAAGTTGAACTTATTTAATGTGTGCAACTCAGGGAAGTTGGAGACAAATACACGCCAGTACAACCAGCTCCGTGACCCTCGCCACGGACGTGCGCGTCACCTCCAGATGTTTCCTTCCGCCCTCTTTCTGTGTCATGAGTAGTAGTATTATGTTGTGTGTGTCCTACGAACACAACATGAGGTCCCCAGTAGCCGATTCCGAAGGTGTAAATCCCTGCTGCTCACCCCAGGTGGGCCTCCGCCACATTCCCCGTGCCCTCAGAGGGTCTCAGCTTTGTAGCGGCTGGATCCGCCGGGACGGGGCAGTGCCGCGCTTAGCCTGAGGAGTCCGCCAGGAGCAGAGGGCCCCTCTGCCCAGGTAGCTTCTCCCAGAGGCCCCTTCCAAAGGGAGATAGGCAGAGAGGAGAGCAGACCGCCTTCTTGGCTCAGCCCTGAGCTGTTCCTGCTCAAGACCCCGGGGTGCCAGTGGGAAGGTCACACTTTGTATCTGGACACACAACCTGGGGATGCCTTCTGTGCCCGGGCTTCTCTTGTCCTCTGAGCCCATTCAAGGGAAGCCGCAGCTCCTGTTCGGCAGCAGGGGCGGTGAGAGGCAGCAGGAAGCCCCCACTTAATCTGTGTGATCCTGGGTGAGCTCCCGCCTGCTCGGGCTGTGGTTTCTCTGTCTCTCCAGGGGTGTGGTCAGGCTGTGTGACCTTTGGAGGAGGTGGGCAGGTGGCCGGGCCTCCGGGTGACGCTGCTTTGGCGACCTTTCTCAGTAAGTATTTTTCATGTCCCCTTCTCGTCCTAGATTCTGTCGATAATGGAAGCTTATCATCTGCCCTTGGAAAGGAGGAGGAAGTCTTCAGAGGTGAGTGAATGAGGCTGGGCTTGGTGGCCCCCTGGGAGACCCCGGCCTGCTCTCTGGCCCTCACAAGGCCCTTCTCCTGTTGGGGCCCCCCGGCCACAGGTCCCGGTGCAGCCCCCTCAGCGCCCCGTGGACTCCATGAGCCAGGCCTCCTCCACCCCCAGCTTCTCCTCTGTGTTGGCGCGCTCCAGACGGCAGGAGCCCAAGAAGGACTACAGAGAGGTGAGGCTCCCAGGTGGGAGGGCGGACGGGAGGGTGGCCGTGTGTCAAGGCGGGCAGTTAAAGAGCCATGCATGACGAGGGCTGCGCAGGGGGCCCCGGGGGGTGCCCAGCCAGGAGTTCTCACACTGCTGCTTGCATGCTCGGCTCCTGAAGCAGCTCTTTGCTTTGGGGATTGTGTGTGTGTGTGTGTGTATATGTGAGACAGAGGGACAGAGGAGGGAGTCTTCTAGGAAAAGTCTAAGGAAAGTCACCGGTAGGTCCCCAGATTTAAGATCATTTTACAAACTAAATTCTCAGCACTTACGTCCCATTCCGTAAGCATCCCTGTCAACCTGATGTATCGTCCCTGACTTCTGGCCAACACATTGTGTGCTGTAAAAGGTGATTTATAGCCTGTTTTTTTTTTCTTCTCCATTTAACCTGTCTGCGAGCTCGTCCAGAGTCAGCCTGCAGAGCAGACCGTCCCGTGGACGTCCCACGACTCCTCTGCCTGCTCCCCTGTGTGCGGGGAGCCTCATTGCCTCCGCGCAGGGCATTCGTCCCCTGCCACCTGCAAGCTGTGACCTGCTCTTGGAGGGCCCGATGAGCTTAGCTTGATGCAAAGGCACAGTAGAGAAAGCCCGGAGACACATTCCAGAGTCTAAGAGAGCCCTGGAATGGTTCCTGGTGTGCCCTCAGCTGTCAGATGATGAGGGCTGAGTACGTGTGATCCTCCGGGGCGGCTGGCTTGTGCTTCATTGCAGTGACCGGCATCTCGCTTGGCCACGTCACCAGCAGATCATTCCATAGACCTCAGGGGGAGATGGGTTCGGTGCACGTTGGTACCCTCCTGGACGGCCTAGCCGGGCAGTCTCAGGGATATGCTTGCGAGATGCTGAATGAGGTGTTAAAACTCCACAAACCAAGAGACAAATGAGAGCCTTTGGGTCTTCTATTACTGCTTAATTATTGAAATCATTTCCTAAGATTCTTTTCCTTTACTGAAGGTAGAAAAACTTTTAAGAGCGGTTGCCGATGGAGATCTAGAAATGGTGAGTTTTTAGCAGCACGTCTAAAACTTGCTGTCGGTGAAAAGAGCTGAGCCTGTTTTTTGTCTCTGGTTCAGTCAGGAGCTATGTTCTGTTCACGTTCACACGGAAGGGCTGCATTTAATGACTGCGCAGTAATGTAGGTGTTCACGTTTTCCTTTCACATACTGAGCAGGTGGTCATAAAGCGGCACAGAGAGCCTACTAGAGGATCACGTTCCGGGAGGCTGGTGAAATGTTGGCCAGCCCCGCCGTGTGCAGGAGCACAGAATGCGGGCTCCGAGCCTGGCCCACTAGCTGGGAGCAGGATGTGCAGGCAGGGAGGGTGGAGAGGAGGAATGGAGTGGGGCAGGGGGGGTGTGGCGGGGAGGGCCAGAGCCCAGAGGTCCCGGTGTGGCCCTGTGGAAGTGGTGGGCGGCTGTGGCGCCTGGGTAGGAGGCTGAGGTCTGAGGCTTGGGACTCCAAGGAGTCACAGGCCGGGTGTCCCGACGAGGTGGTGCTCGCTGCTGTGAGTTGGCATGGGGAGAAGGCCTGGCTGGGGGGAAGGTGTCTGTCCCAACCCTCCCTGCAGATGCCAGGGAACATCTGATCAGGTCACTGGAGCATGGAGACAGCCTTCCTTAGATTCCCACGGGCGGTTTCCCCCGGCTTGCCTTTGGCTTCCTGAAAGGAACTTGCTGTGTCTTCCACTTTATTTATTTTTTTTAAAGTATTTTTATTTCATTTATTTGAGAGAGAGTGAGAGTGAGCAGGAGCAGAGAGAGCAGCAGAGGGAGAGGGAGAAGCAGGCTCCCTGCAGAGCAGGGAGCCCGATGCGGGGCTTGATTCCAGGACCCTGGGATCATGACCTGAGCCGAAGGCGGACGCTTAACGACTGAGCCACCCAGGCGCCCCTGTCTTCCACTTTAAAAGAAGGAGGGGCGCCTGGGTGGCTCAGTTGGTTAAGCAACTGCCTTCGGCTCAGGTCATGATCCTGGAGTCCCTGGATCGAGTTCCGCATCGGGCTCCCTGCTTGGCAGGGAGTCTCCTTCTCCCTCTGACCCTCCCCCCTCTCATGTGCTCGCTCTCTCTCATTCTCTCTCTCTCTAATAAAATCTTTTTTTTTTTTA